GACTTAATTTTGGTTTTTGAGTGGGATGGGTGGGGACTGAATCATCAGCATGGAAGATGAGGGTGGGGTTTAGTGGTGAGAGTTTTTTGGAAGGAGAAGGAGGGATGAGAACTTAAAACCATCTTCCTGTTTATTTTTAGGCATTAAATAAATGAGCTCATCTAATCCTAACCACCACCCATATTAGGAAAAATCAAATCAATGTCCGAGGTCACACACTAGTGAAGTCATAAAGCAAAACTTTACCCACCCAGGGATGAGTCCTCTCTAGAATTCAGAATCCTTGTCTGAGAATATTATCTATTTCTCTGGCAAAATTCTCTTCCAAGGTTTCCTTTTAACTTTTTTTTCAATCTTCCTCATCATTCTGAATATCAATGGTTTTCAGTTAATGGCAACCACTGTTAAATGTAAAAACCCCGCAGCACACCATAATGGATTCATTCATCCGTTCACTCATTCTTTCAGAATATTGAATGCGCAGCTACTAAGTGCTGGGCACCATGCTAGGTGTGGGGGATTTGGCAATAAAAGAGAAAAAGAGAGGATGCTTGTGCTTTTATAAGTAGGCTGAGTATTTTTACTGTTTGTTACTGCTAATAGCTCTGAAGGTTTCAATCAAGCTTAAAACATTCTGTCTGAAAGATTCCTATGAGAATCTTCTTTACTTGATTATTTATCTAAGACGTACATTCCAGTGTCCTGCTAAGGAAATTGATGTACATTTTACTGGATAAATGGAAATATTGTTTGGAATAAAAACAGTGGAAGGACATCTATAGCTAAACATCTCCTGGGGAGTCTCTGCTTTTAATTTCTGGTGTGCACGTGGATCTCAATAAGGGGAGATTAAAGGATCTTCTAATAATTTAGCACTGTTGGCTCAGGACAAGGTTCTGAAAGTAAATCTGGACCTATTTTCCCTAAGGACACTACCATCACTTTAAATCTGGGGGGACACCAGAATGCTGGCTGCATCCCAGTGTTACTGCTGGGATGTTGAAGTGATGGGGGAAACAGCAAAATCTGCAGACCGATGCACCTCCTCTTCTCACCCCAAGCTGCTCATGGATGGATGAGCTGAGGCCAGGTAGTGGCTTGAGTTAAATTCCAAGTGCTTCTGGCGCCCTTGGCACCATCCGATGCGGACCGTGGGGGCTTGCCTATGGAGCAGAGTCTAGTTTAGCTGTATGTCAATAGGGGCCTCTGATGGAAGACTCTGGATGGAAATGGTACCAGGAATCATCAGGTTGGGTCCCAAATGTTGGGGGCTGCCAGGCATCAATCGGCAGGTGATTGGACAGGTCCTGCTGCAGTAGAGCTATGGGACCACAGGAGATGAATTTTGTTTTCATTGTGAGGGTGGGGGCTGAATCATCGGAATAGGAGCTGAGAATCCTAACGTTTTTGGAAGGAGAATCAACCATGGAGAAATGAAACTGATCTAACCAATTGTTAGGCATTTTCATAATTTAGCTCATTTAATCCTAACCACCACTTTAGATAAGGAAACCTAGGATCACACACCTGGTGCGCAGCACAGTGGGGATTTGAAACCAGTTCTCCCTGACCTCAGCGGAGGTGCTCTTTCCAGCTCTATTCCGAGAGGCAGGGCATTCCTAGTTTCGCTTGGTATCTATCCCTTATCTTCCTTCTCAGGCATTCTCTCATTCCTCTGCCTATTGCAATTCATGATCCTGTCTTCTCTCTTTCTTCTTTAAGTAATTACTATTTGTAGCAACTCTGTTTATTAAATAAAACCAATTTTATTTTATTTTTTTAGAAGATTTTATTGAGAGAGAAAGTGTGCGTGCGTGAGCAGGGGGAGGGGCAGAGGGAGGGAGAGAGAGAATCTCAAGCAGACTCTGCACTGAGTGTGGAGCCTGATGCGGGGCTGGATCTCACGACACTGAGATCATGACCTAAGCTGAAATCAAGAGTCTGATGCTTAACCAACTGAGCCACCCAGGCCTCCCTAAACAAAATCAATTTTAAAATTAGAGAAGTTGAAAATTTTATAATCCTTTAAAACACAAGACTCCCACTCTTCTAAAATTAGGGAAAAGTTGTCCTGTACTTACTTATGCAAAGCCTATTGCCCATTTTTCTCTCTCTCTTTATCGATCATTATGTTTAAGGGAAACAGTGGGTCAGTGGATATATGATCAAAATATTAGAGTTGGAAGGTGTAGAAACTGCCAACACCAAGAAGCCTAGTGACTTGTTTAGAATAAAATAGCTAGTTCCTGAATGATCCAAATAATGGAGGGCAAGAGTGAAAGTGGGAAAATCCTGAGTTTACAAAGAAAATTGAGTTTCAAAAGTTTGTTTGTAAATCAGTTATTGGACATTTAGTATATTTCTTCAATGAAAAGAAAATTTTAAGTAGGAATGCCACCTGATTATCTCAGCAGAAAATAGCCGAAATCTATTATTTGTACCCACGAACAGTACAACAATCAACCCCAATTATTATGCAGTACTTAAATTTAACACAATATAAAGACAACACACTGAGTGAGAAGGATTTTAATTTTAAATGCATGAAAGAGAAGCTTAGGAGGATGAACGAGTTAACTGAAGGGTCTGGTGGAGATTCTGAGAATGACTTTTGGACACTGATCAGGGACTTTTGGAAATGTATAATAGATAATTGTTTTTAAGAGATAGTAAAGGAAATTTTCTGCGTGCCTATTATTTATTATACCCAGGAGTTTAAAAAAATCGGTCATTCAAAATCCATCAGTTAAATATACCATTCAAAGCAGCATCTAAGTGGCAGTTACTCTTTATGCACCTTTCCCTCCATGCACAACAGAGCACTTTCCTTCTTTTGGTTTTGCTGTTCACCTCACCAGGGACCATCCTTTCTTTTCTTCATTGCCCTGTAAATTATCCTCCTTCAAAGTCCAATTCAAATGTCATATCAATTTTTAGAATCCTCTGACAAAATATTAGCGGTCCTTCCTCTGAAACCAGTTGCATTTTGATTGCATTTCTTTTATGATGTACAGTTTGTCTCCTGTTTTAGTTTTGGGATGCCCCGTAAATAGTGATCAAATACAATTAAATTGTAATAATTCAGGTTTCTCCTCAAGAAATGCCTTCAGACCACCTTTGCAAAATAATGTTCCCAGACCCCCAGTCCCTAGCCCTGCTTTATTTTCTTTATAGCACATATCATACTGGACATAATAGATATTTGTTTATTGCCTGTCTCCTCCACCAGAATTTCTGACCTACTTTGTTTCATTTCCCCAGTACCTAGAACTGTGCCTGGTCCAGAGTAGGGGTTGAATAAATCGATGTAACTGGAAGCGAAAGAAATACCAATTGGGATATATCAAGACACTGGTGCTGATCATTGATTGGTTCTATCAGTACTTAGCTGCAGGACACAGAGCAAGTCATTAACCCATGATGGGCATTTCCTTATAGAATCAATAAGATTGTTAGGTCTGATGGCATTTCATTACTGAGAGCAGGGCGCAAGAGAGGCAATGAATAAATGGAGTTCAGGTAGATGTGTGTTGGAAAAAGAATGCTCTAGGCCAGTTACAGGAGCTACCCTTGGTGAGAGGCAGAAAGGACAAGGCATAAGTGAGGGGAGAAAGATGCGGAGAAAGGGCTGCCTTCAGGTGCATGGGCCTGTCAAGAATGCTAGGGGAGCTGTGAAGTGGAGAGCTGGGGGCCATACAGAGATGTTGGGCTGCTTGAGGAGAGGTTCCCAGACAGAGGGAAGGCAAGCTAAAAGGGGAGGGTATGTGTATGTTGCAAGCTCCACATACTTTTCAACAGTAAACAAGCCCTCTGCTGTGATTTTGCCAGGGCCTGATTAAGCACGTGGCTCCCATGTGAAAGCAAATGAGATGTTCTATACCAAGAATCATCATTAGTTCTCCATTTAATTTGACAAGGCTTCTTCTTTATTTCCCAAAGCAGACTAGATTCTAATCTCTTATCCTGAAACCTCCACAGCATTGCTCTTCTCATCTGCGAGTATGTGATCTTGTCTAGCGTTGCAAGCTTCTCCTCTTGCCTCGTCACCCCTGCCCTGGCGCCTCTCCTCCCCTACACTAGGAGGTCCACGGAGGGCACTATCTTTGCTTTTTCTGAATCAGCCTAGTACAATATCCTGAGTCAGTTTCTGTCTCTCACTCTCTGTCTCACACTTACATATTTCATACTCATTCTTAACATAGAGTATACCTCGAATTTAAGTTTCATTAAAGTTCTAGGCTGGTTTGTAAAATAGGAACTGACCCAGGCAGAGGTTTTGGAAATTTCCTACATAAGCTACCAAAGGGCTATATACATTTCAGAGAGGGCCCTGTAAGAAGTAACCACTGGCACTTTTTTTGTTTACTTAGACACACACTCAAAGCTTCACTCTTTTTTCTATACCGTAGACAAAGAAACCCTGTCCTTGGCCACAGCGACCGTCTCGCCTTGCAAAAAGTTGGCTACGCCAAGCTACGTCGGAGCAGCTCTGTGAGGCCACCATTCCTGCGGCCACGGAGGGAGGAGAAAGCCCCAGCGACCCAAAACCCAGAGTCCTGGACAGAGCCGCCACGCCCTTCCCGCTGCGCGAGCACAAGGCAGTCCTGCGCCCCTTCGGGAGCAGCGCCTTCTCCCGCTTCCAGAGTGGAGGCCACCTGGCCCCACCCAGGCTGCGGGGACTAGGACGAGCAGCGCCCCACGCAGGCGCACTGAGGCCGGGGAAGGGGCGGGCCCGGCTCGCGGGGCAGGCTGCGCGAGGGGCGGGGCGGGGCGGGGAGGGGCGGGTGGTGTTTCCGTTGCTTGGAGTGGGCTGAGAGCTGCTGTCTGGAGCGTATTCTGCTCGCATCCCTACCCTGCCCTGCGCGCCGCCGCCCCGCGCTCCGCCGCTTTCCGGGAGGTTCGGGGCACTTAGGTCCTTCTGTCACTCTCAGGTGAGTGCTCGCCTAGCCGGGGGTGGGGGCTGCGTCCGGAGAGGGGAGCTGCGGGGAGGACCGGTCTGCGGCTCGCTAAACCCGCGGTGTCTCTCTTGTCTTGCAGTTTTGCATCGCCTTCTCCTGACCTGAGCAGTCGCCATGGCACAGGTAGGGCCGTGCGCCCCCAGCGCAGCGCTCGTTATTTGCCAACTTTGTCCCCTGTGTCAAGGGAGTTCTAGAATTTGTCTGAAAGCCAAAAAAAGTTTAGGAGTAAACAAAATCTGCCTTCGATAAATCTGTTACACCTTTCTCGTTTCTCCTTTCGTTGCTCCCCCCTCCAACCCCTTTTCTGTGTCCCCGGCTTCTTCCCGTCCAGTGCCCGCCGGAACCTGCTCCGAAGCAGCCGGTGGGGCGCAGCAGCCGGTGACGTGGCTGGATTTGTGTGCATTCCCTTTTTGTGAGTGAATGTGTAAAAGTGCGCCCTCCCCCAAATCCAAAGAACCGCTAAAATTAGAACCAGAGCAGGAAAAGCTCTTAGCGGTCAAGTGAGACGAACGCGTTTTTTTTCCATGTCATTCTTTTTCTTTCTTTGCATGCCTGCCTTCTTTCCTTCCTTCCTTCTTTCCTCTCCTCTTCCTTTCCCCCGCCTTCGCCTCCCTTCCCCTCCCTTCCCCTCCCTTCCCCTCCCGTCTCCTCCCCTCCCCTCCTTTCCCTGCCTTTTCCTGTATTATTTAAATACTACAAGTGGGCATGGCTTTTTCCAGTTGCTCAACCCAATTTTACTGAAAGGAACTGTTCCTTGTAGGCACTGCTCCCCCCACCCCGCAAAAGATTAAACAGAAGAGCGGCGTTTCTTAAGTAACTCGTGAAACGAGTTCTAAATTGAATTTGCCTTGGGATTGTTTCAGAACTTGGTTACCTAATATTGGTCTTTTTTTGCTCTTAACATTTGTCAAAAATACCAGAAAGAAAAAAATCATTCATATTAAAAAAAAAAAAACCGACCGTGTTGCACAGTATTTTGTGAATAAAATATCAGTGCTAACAACTCCACCTCAAAACTAATTTTACAGATCTCGGCAATCAAACTGGCTTGTCAGAGTCAAGATAATTTTTTTAAAACCAGTATTTTAACTGCTCAGACAATGTCCTCTCTTTATACCCTTCATTTATTAAATCAAAACAAAACAAACAAAACTGACTTATCAAAATTGAGTAAGGTTTCAGGGTCCTTTCCAAGAGAACTTGGGAGGATTGTGATGACCTGGTAACTTTATTAAATTTCTACAGTGCTTCCATTCTTTCTTCCTCTTTTGCACTTACGAAATATTACAATAAACCAATTCTCCTGTTACTTCAAATGGAAACTTTGGTTTAGGTTCTTCCCCGTATTAAAGATACTTTTATGTGGAACTAACTTTCCTTCACTAAGAGTCGTTTTTCTTATCTTGATATGCTGGTGTGGTGATGTAAATGATGACTGATCAGGCATCAAAGAATAATTCCCTTTATTCTTGCTCATTTGGCTGTTTCTTGAATCTCTTTTGTAAGTTTACCCAGTGATGTCTGAAGTTTTTCAATCAATTCCTTCTAATTATGTAGACTCCAGATAGCACAAACGAACACGCTTTTCCAGTTATGGACATTAATAATTTCGAGCTATGAAAAGTGTAAAGGATGTTAGATATACAAAACCTGGGAGAATGGTGGTTTTCATGATAGAATTGGGTGCATGATCTCTATCACACTACAACTCCAGGACTGTTTTCTATCAAAACCACAGTGTTTAGTCATCATAAAAGTTACAAGTAATGTTTTTTGCACTTTGTTATTAGTTCTCCTTGGAAACCATGGAAGTAAAACATTTTGTTAAAAGGTTTTTTTTTTTTTTTTAAAGATTTTATTTATTTGACAGAGACACAGTGAGAGAGGGAACACAAGCAGGGGGAGTGGGAGAGGGAGAAGCAGGTTTCCCGTGTGGAGTAGGGAGCCTGATGCGGGGCTCTATCCCAGGACCCTGGGATCACGACCTGAGCCGAAGGTAGACGCTTAATGACTGAGCCACCCAGGCGCCCCCAAATTTTGTTAAATTATTAACATTAAGATGGAGTTTTGTTGTTTTTATACTTACACATTTGATGGGATGCAGAATGCCCACATTAAGGACTTGCAGTTTTACTGTCAAAAAATTCCCGAGGCACTTGGGTGGCTCAGTTAAGTGGCTGCCTTTGGCTTGGGTCATGATCCCGGGGTCCTGGGATTGAGCCCCACTTTCTTCTCTTTGCTTAGCCTGGAGCCTGCTTCTCCCCTTCCCTCTGCCTGCCGCTCTACCTACTTGTGCTGTCTATCTCTCTCTGTCAAATAAATAAATTAAATCTTTAAAAAAAAATTCCCTTGGACCCCAGTGTAATGGTAGGAAAGCTGAAGTAGTTTCAGTGTTAGGTTTCAAACGGTTTCTATGGTAGTGTGTTTTGTTGACCTGTGGTTATGGGAACCAGAGACCTCCACTCTGGCCATTTGGAGAGCAGTGAAATCAGATGCCTGAGACTTAGAGGTGCATCTTTAAGCCATTTAAAACGTATCATTAAATATTGTCTCTTATTTATTGAAGAATGAAAATGTAGACTCCCACAGCAGTAATTCTTCATGTTTATAAACTGTACCTCCCATACCAGTGTTTTGTCTTTTTACTTGACCTTGGGACCACCCTGCCAGTCACAGCCTGCAAAGATCCAGGAAACAATTGTATATGTAGCTTGTGGGCATGACCATCTTGTTAAGAATTTAAAGAGAAAGCATTGACTGATTGATCTTCGATAGATAATTGGAGTTTCTGTTTTTATATGAAAAATATTACTAGGGATATTTTATACTCTTGTGTATATTTATTTTAATATTTTTTGTTTATTTGTTATATAAATTATAAGTTTTATCTCATAATTAATATAATTCATATCATTGCAAATTCTTAAAATTTTACCCTAATGATGTCAGTATAAGTGGACAAATCCATAACAGATATTGTGAACTACATAAAAAGTGATTTATATTATCATGGTGAGTAAATACATTCAGAGCTGGGGGTATTTGTGGAATAACCACCCCTTGAACTCTGCCCTTCTCTTTCTGGTCCTAATCCTCATCCACTAGCATTGAAACATGTGGGGGTCTACCAGTTGACTATTATGGAGAGAAGTAGTCTAACATGAGGCTTCCCAGTCTTTCTCAAAGATAACACACTGGTTAACTGTATCTTTTCCATGACACGCAAGAAAAATAAGAATTACAAATGTACCTGCATGTAAACAGTTCCTGGACAATATTTATTTTTTTTTTATCTTTGAAATCATTCATTTGAATGGTTTTGTATTTATCTGATTTGGAACCACAGCATCCGTGTTGTTTTAGAACAAATTTTGCTAAATGAATGATAAATTATTATGATTATTGGATCACTAACGTTTTCTAATGTACTAAATTTGGGTACAAGCTAGTTCAAGATACTTACTAAGGAATGGCCAAAGAGCTGTTAATTGCCTGAATTATCTATATAGAGTATAATATTTTTTGAATCCTTTCATCTTTTTCTTCCAACAGTCAACTTGTGATTATATAAATGTGACTTTTTTTAAAAAATTAGTTTTTAGGGTCATTTTTCTCAATTTGACTTAACCATATTTTGGGTTGGATTTCTTAAACTGGATCCTGACCTATTCCTCTCTTATTGCTTAACTTGTTCTTGCAGGTTTTTAAAATCTCACTATTTAGCTAGAGCCAAATTATTTCACAGATATTCTAATTTATTTTAGGTACTTAAAAGTACATTCTGTACTTCTGTATTCCTTGGTTTGGAAAAATCAGGAGTTGGCTGTATTTCAAAGATGAATGATCCATTTAATACATTTTAATTCGAGTCTGTATAATTTTGTTTATGATAATCAAACTTTAAAAAGATAGATTTTGGGGAGGCACCTGGGTGGCTCAATTGGTTAAGCATTTGCCTTTGGCTCAGGTCATTATTCCAGAATCCTGGGATGGGAGTCCTGCCTCATTGCACTCCCTGCTCAGCTGGGAATCTGTAGCTCCCTCTCTGTCTGCCCCGCTCCCCTCCTCGTGCTCTGTCTCTGCCACTCTCTCAAATAAATAAATAATTTTTCTTTAAAAGATAGATTTTGGGCAATCTGAACTTAGCTTTATAATGTTTATAGAGTTAATATATTTAAAGCAGCAGGAATGTCATGAAGCAAAATCAGGCAACATAATTTTTCACTGGAAACTTCATGAACATCAGATTTCTCTCCTCCATACATAAATTGTGCAAGGTTTGCTTAGAAATTTTTTTGGTTGGTTTGAAATCATTGTACTGTGATAATTTATAAAGTGCCTGTGCAGAACAAGCAGGATCAATGTAAATAAATAGATTTGAGATGAAGTTCATTCTAGAGGAGTTGACCAGATACTGATTGTATCTTTTCATGCCATTCACTTGAAGGTCAACTCTCTCTTTAGAGATCTCTCTTGGGATCTTAGATCAGGATTACCTATACTGCTTTGGGTTAGTGTCTCTTAGTTCCTGATACCTCTGACTCTTGTTTACATTTTGGATGCTGAGAACTAGATCCAAAACTGCTTGGCTGCTTGGGAAGCCACTGAGCAATTCATTGGCATTTAGCAAATTTTAATTCCCTTATCTAGATCTGGTAACTTTGGACACAGTTGGAGAGCTAGTGAGAGTTGGGCAGTCTGTGGTTTTCTCCTCTTTAGTGACAGAAATTTAAAATGGTAGAGATATAATATTTTAACATAATAGATCAATTTCTGAAATAAATTTTATTCATAAAACCTGTATACTATTCTAAAACTTTACAAACACATTAGTTGATCTTTACAAAAATTAGTGCTCCTAAGACCTTTGCTTAATTTTTTTTTTTTGGACCCATCGTTTCAGTTTAGTAGTTTATATAATATGTAAACCTGTATGCAGTTGATTTACTGGAATGAATGCATATTCCAGTTGGCATCATTTCTTTGGACACCTGTTCCTAACTGTTCTCCTTACTTCCCATTCATGCGTGCATTTATGAATGGATGAAGCTTTTGAGTTCCCACTATGCACCAGGTATTGTTAAGACATGGGAAATAAAAAAGGAAATGGGACAAAAATTTAT